ATTTGAAGATTAAAACTTAAACTCTCTAATGTTCTTTTCCTAGTAACACAAAATTATCCACACTGGTAAACATTTAGTACAGTCTAGTACCTAACCTTGATTGCCACTGACCATATAAACATAGTGTTTAGTCTAACCACAGGTCTTGTCTCTCTAGGGTCCAGGTCAACGATGAGAAGATTATCTTCGAGAACGGCCAGGTGTACCACCGGCTGCAGTGCATGAAGACATTCGGGGAGTGGATCAACTCCATAGTGGAGTTCGGCCTTAGCCTCCACCGGATGGGGCTGGACATCTCCTCCCTGGCTTGCATGAGTGCTCTGGCCATGGTGACATGTAAGTTAAGAAAGTGCTTGCTATTTACAAAGCTTATATCAACTCTGTCTGGTAAAAAATTTTGAACACATTATTAAGTATTTATTGTTCCTAAAAATAAAGCATGAATCAATTAAAAAAACAACAACAACAAATTAGTTAACTAAATGGTGGTAATTAATTAAATTTGTTAGGTATCTAAAAGGGAAAATAAATCTTACAGTATTGAGAGATATGACATCTAGATTTAAGTTTAAAGTTCGATATATATATATATGTAATATAAAACTATTTTTCTTCTTATCTTGCGTACACGTATGCATTTGAGCATTTTCCACGCAGTGCCGTTTTGGCAAAAATAAACAGATTAATAGAACATGATTATATTGCCAGCACAACTGACCTTTTTTTAAAAAAATATTGATTTCTTGGCTTTATTGCCTTGAATTTCAAATGAACATCCCTCTCCACTAGCTTGAGAGTTTCAATCCGAGTCTTTCTTCGCTATTTATACAAATAATTGATACTGATACAAGATTTAATTGAATTTAACTCCTATTTTTTCTCTCTGTTTACAGTGCGCCACGGCTTGAGGGAGCCAGAAAAGATGGAAGAGCTTCAGATGAAGATCATCGACTGCCTCCGAGACCACTGCACCTACAACAGCGAGGCCCAGCGCAAGCCGCACTTTTTCTCACGCATCCTCAGCAAGATCGCGGAGCTGCGAACTCTGAGCCGGGAAGGCCTGCAGTGCATGACCGAGGTGGCCAAGTTTGACGACGCCCACTCCGCCCCCGCTGTGATCCAGAACTATATTTCGAACCAACTGCCTTTCTAGCTCACACGCTTCCCGTGTGATGCGGGAGAAAAAACCCAGAAAACACACAATATTTTTTTGCGGGGTAAAAATCCCAAGAAAACCCAGACTGTGTTTTTTTAACAGACCCCCCCCCCTTCGAAAAAAACAACAACAACTAAAAAACAGCATGTAAGGTCTAAAAAAATATTTTGCTGTTATATTTTCTTATCTACACATATTTTTGTGAGATTTGATTTTAATGTGAAAGTCTAAACTCTTTATCATTTGTTATTTCTCTAATGTTGTGAAATGTTGTTCTACAATCTAAATGGTTCGTTTTAAATACCATTATTTTTGTATACCTTGTGTATTTACCAAAACCTGTATTCTCTTTATTTGTTTTTTGACACTTTTATTATTTGTGTTTAAATATTGTCCTTTATACATCAACCAAAAAAACCCCAAACAATGTCCATTAAAACTATAAGTATATTATATTATTTTTATGAATACTATTTCTGTGTATAAAACTGCCTTGTTCGTCACACTGGCCTATATCACAAACGTATGACCTTTGATCTTTCTCTCGCCTCACCTTTGACCTTCCCCGATGTTTGTACGATGTGAAAACTTGTACAGAGCTCCTCCATTTTATTTTGTTCTTCTTGACCATTCTTCAATGTTTCCTAATATTATGTACATAATCAGATTTCTTTCCATAATATCACTGTATATATATGTAAACAATCGCCCTTACCTATTATATTATCATTATTATTTTCACTATTTATACAGAGAGTGCACACTTAGTACCACTAAAGAATGAGATAGTTATTATTGAAGTTTTTTTAGAATTAAAGTTCTAATAGATTCGATGTTTTATATAACCATTTCACCGAAACACATCCCTATTAAAGAGACGCTATTGGGTAGGCATTACCGTAAATCTGCGCCTCTACTGTAAGTCTATGCTTCTGTGGACATAATCAGAAGTCTACCGGTCTGTGGATATATCCTCAAGACAAAACCGTAAGTAGATGGTTAAAAGGACATGTTATGAAGCGGAAAACCAAACCCTAAACAGTAATTTTGTAAGCAGTTGTAATGTACACCATCAACATCATCAAACTCCTATTGAGTGAGGGATTGAGAGGTTCAAATCCTTTCTTGCAAAAGTCCTAAACAGAGACCCGGCTGTTTTGCGTAGTGCATAAATGTCGCCATACAGGTCGAGATTTTGTGGTTTCCTAGACCTGTCGAGACGGAGATCAGCAAGTCTGGGGCAGTCAAAAAGAATAAGAGATTATAATGTACACATTTTTTTGTACAAAATTGACTTCTACCCTCCAAACCCCATGCTAAATGTACGCTACAACTTAAAACCGTTTAGCTAATTGGACAAGATGGTCAATGTTTGGGGGGTCAATGCTTCTCTAAAGATAACACGCTCAAACCATTTCTTGATGAAGTGATTCTAACGATCATTAACATCATCTTTTGCAAAGGACGCGTAACTATAGCAACTGCTGCACAGTCATCCAAAATATGAACTGACTATTGGAAACAAAACAAATAGAACTAAAAGAAAATACTGAATCCAAATTTTACTTTCCTATAATGCGATATATTATTTTTTTGTTTGTTGATGAAATTCCTTGTATAAAAATCATTGAATGAATAACTTTTGTCGCTCCTAATGTTAGTGTGTACATATTTTTTATATAAAACCGTATTAAAAATGTTTCTTTGTTATTTATACGTGGCATACTTTTTAACTGTATACTTTCTCTTTTTGTTATTCTCTTAGGATTGCGGTATTAATCTTGATTATCAACTTTTGATTATGTTTATCAACTCTTGTAGTTAAAAATAACTGCAGAAAAAGGTCCGACCTACATATTTAACATGGAAGGGAAATTCCATGCTTGAACTATATCCACACACACACACACACAGTTATCATGTTTATCTTGCCAAAAATGTTACATTTATTTCTGATGTCGTGATAATATAACAAAATAACTTTTAGTTCTGATAACATTATAATTGTACAGTAAGTTAGAAGTAGGGTACGAGTTTAGCTCTTTTTTTTTCCTTTTACACTAAGTACTTCGTCTGCCTGGTCGTATGGTATGCGCTCTGGCCTGTCGTGTCGATAATGTCGGGTTTGAACCCTGTCGTCGCCATACACCCGTAAAGCTAATGGAGTTTTGAAGGAGCACACGAAGCATGTAAAACATAATTAAGAAAGTATTTAATCTATTGTGCGTTAATCTTTATGCAGCACAGGTTCTAGGAGTTTTAAAACGAGATTTATTCTTATAATTGAAGGGAATAATGAAGAACTCTAGGTTATATTGCATAAAACATCTCTTTTGAATATCTTTTTCATAATTGTTTATCTATATGTATACGTATTTAAATAGACTAAGGGATCATTATAATTAGAGAGGCTCATGAGAAATCTTTAATCAGTCAATATTTAGTTTTTCATTTTAATTGCTTTATTAAACGTTTTCAACGTGAATATAATGCCTAAGGTATTGGTCATGATAAAGCCTTGACCACTCTCTGTGGCGTGTTATAACGGAAGTAAAAAGGTTAATGCTCTAAATGTTACATTATATTGAACAAGATTTATTCTAGAGTTATGTTTTTTTTGTGTGTGTTTTATCGCTAATGTAATACGTGTATTTGATTACAAAGATACAAGTGATATATTTTTTTACTCATTTGTTTGAAAAAATGAATACATGGCTTATTTTGAACACCGTACTTTTTTGTGTTATAGTTCAAATTACACAGTTGTACGTAGAATATTTTTTCTAGTCTTGTGTACATTAGGTAATTTCGAGTAGAGATTAATAGTTCTTGTTCCCCCTTCCAGATAAATTAAATGTATGGTTTAGTAAAAGAGTCATATTTTTTTTTCTTATTCACCAAGAAAGTCATTTTAATGTCTCTTTGTTTTAAATTAATGTATGTGTATGTGTGTGTGTGTGTGTGTGTCTGTGCTATAGATTTCTTCATCTATTTCTATTCCTAGCTTTCCCTCTGCCTCCCAAAGCTTTCCACTGCCCCCTTTCCCCACCACAGGCACATATCTAATGCACCCACTTACACCGCTGACCTATATCGTTAAACTGATCGGTGAAATTAAATCCATTACTAAGTGATCAACAATCATCCCCACAGGGATTAAAAAGGAAAGGGATAGTTTAATCAGGATAGGGATAGGTTTTCAAACATTCATTTAATGACGAAAATGACCTTTTTGTGAAGTTTTTTGTTCTTGATGGATACAATTTGATCTGAAATGATTTTTTAAATATTTTTTTCCTTGTAAACAAAAGAACACCCTATATTTATGCTATTCAACGTTTACCTATTCCAATGTGTGAAATTAATTTAGAAAAAAAAAGAGTAAGAAGGCAATACAGTTTGCCACGGTGTGCACTCATGCAGTCCATAGAACAAATAATGTAAAGCTCACAACGTTTCTATGGTCGACGGTTAACGAGGGTGTCACGTGGTCATCAAACAGCCAACAGCATTTTTCTTTCTGCAACAGGGACGCCCAGAAGATTTCTAGAAAAAAAAACCAAGGTTGTCACCGGGACTCGAACTCTTGACCCCTTCCTGTTTGGAAGCCAACACCATTTAATTTGTAGTGTAAAAAAAAAACTAATTTGGGGGGCCATCTTCAAGTGGTGGCCCGGGGAATTAGCCAATTCTCCCCTTTCCTCCCCTCACCTCAACTACGCCACTGTTGCCCCCACTTATTAACTTTCTTCTTCTTACCATAAAATACAGACGTTACTCCAGAATAGAAGATGATTACATCCACACTTTCGCAAATTAGAGTTTTAGACAATATATGTGTTCACGTGTGTGTGTGTGTGTATGTGTTGTTTATGTATGTGTTGTGTTGTTTCAAATTTGACTATGGAATACTTCGTGACCATTATTGACTTTATCAATGCGTTACAATCTCATGCTCTAAATCTATGCCACTGTACATATTCAATCAAGCTTGCACCGTTTTTGTTTTGATTCATTCAACCGGTTGTTTGATTTATTAAGTGTACTATTATTTTCACTTCTCCCCCCTCCCTCCCTCCCGTACTTTCCATACTTATTGTCTGAGAGAAATAAATAACATTAGGAGCTATCGTAGTACCAATAGACTTGTATTTTCCCCACTACAATTAAAAATATTTTGATATTTTTGATAAACAGATATATGATTAGATCTAACAATTCTAAAACATAAATATATTTTAGTCTATAACAAAATATTGCCTTTCATTTCTCGATGGCGTCTCAAAAAGATGCTGTTTGCAGATTTAATTAATTTTTTTTCATCTTTAATTAAAGCTTTCGCAATTTATTCTGTTTTCCATCAGAGAACATTATAACACAACTACTATAGTCAAAATGTGGCGACCCTATCGGCAATGGCGTTTAATAAGTTATCTCTGTTATCAAAATCTGTTTCTTTGTTCTTTGCGTATGTTTTATTTCGTAAGAGATATTAGTCAACCATGTTAGATAATTTATTACATACTAGTCAAGTTAAAAAAGGACAACAACAAAGTATTACGAAATTATGCTCGGACACATAGACGATAAGACGTAGTGGAAAACCAATGCAAAGTATTGACCGTGTCACAGAGTTGATGTCCTTATGGTCTCGCGTTTTAGTCTTGTTTTTTCAAAACCTGTATATAAACTCTAAATATTTATTACTGTTTATGTTCTTATCATTTTATTAAAATGTTATATTATATTTTATTATTATTTTTCAAATGCGATTTTTTCAATGATTTTTTAAAATTCTCTTTCCTGTTAAGGTTTCACACGGAATAACTTAAAAAAAAATCATTTTAACAATAACTCAGTTGTTTTATTTTGTGTTTTTTTAGTGTTTTCTTTTTGTTCCGATGTTAACTAAAAGTCTTACTTTGTCGAAAGAGTTCTGTTCTCCCACCCTCCAAAATAAAAACTAAATTCACTCCCCTAATTCTAAATATCAATACTTGTTCCACCCAACACCTTCCCATCAAATACACATTAAAAAAAATTAATTTTATTTTTATTCAATTGCATTTTGACCAAGAAAGATGCAATAAAAGTAGTGATCCCATCAGGCAATTTGAACTTAGCAGACGGCTACCGCATAAGACTACACTGTTGTTACCTCTAAAAATATTGAAACTTTTGTTATCATGTGTCTGATCTTTATTACTATTATTTATATCATTATTATAATTGTTACTACTATTATTGTTTTTTTTACTATTGTATTTTAAAACTGTGTACTCTTTATTATGAACTTGTGGATTCACACTAAGCACAATATTTTTATAAGTAAAAAAAGTAGTTAGTCTTTTTTAAAGACCTTCCGTTACTAGGTATTTTATGTTCACATACTTACACTAGTGAAGGGACATAGTTCTATTGATTTGTTAGGATTATCATTTTACAACCAATTTACCCTTATCAATGGATCTAGTGTTGTAGCATCTTTGTTTTACTGTATTATGAAATTTAGTTAGAGAGTAATATTTTCTTTTCGCCATGGAGTTATAGCAGTTGCGGTTCTAGAGTATCGTAAAAACTAAGAACACTTTCTATAAATAGAATTTTTTTTTACTCGTGTTATATTTTTTCATAGTGCAGTGCTGTGTTGTTGTTTTTATAATTATTATTTGTTCATGTCTGCAGCTTTGGTTGATATTTACCAAAAAAAAATTAACTAAGGAAAACAAGTGAATGGCTTCAAGCCGATTGATTTAAAGAATTGAGAAACAGAGAGAGAGAAAAAAGCAAAAAAAATAAAACACTGTTTAAATAAATAAATTTGCTTTTGTTTTGTTGATTTTAATCATTGAAGTTATTTGTTTTACAATTTATTTTGTGTTATTGTGTTTTGAGGAGAGAGCTTTGTATTGTATCAACATGCATATGATATGCACGCATTCGGAGGTGCCTATGAATATATGCAAGACACCACTAGGATAAATTTGATGAAATAGTGCGATAAATATATTTTTCTTGAGTTTAATGCTTTCAAAGACTTCAAAATCAGATCAACAAAATAAAAAATATACATTAAAAATATTGTTTATGTTTATTATAACAGATGAAGTCTTGATACGTGTTGTGAAGGCTGTCCTCCATTTCTGCGTCTCCGACGATTTACTGCTAATCTTTGACCTACAAATCGAATCTGATTTCTGGTTTAAACTGAACGTACGTAATTGGTGTTGACGATCTTTGACTTGTAGCACCAAGCTGCTGGTAGACACGTAAACCCCAGAAGGCGTATTATGTTTTAACTTGTAAAACAGGAAATAACTTGTATAACTTCCTTTGTGAATAAAAGCTAAACATAACGTTTATTATGATATAGAAAAGATCAACTTGATATGAGATAAAATAAATTACTAGACCTAAGTAATAATATTTTTCAACAAAATCTTACTCACTAGAACAACACAACTTTCAGTCTCACGTTATGGGGTCGTCTGTTCACACAAGAACAGCTGACGACATTGCCACCTAATCTTGCAGCATTCAGAATCAATCGCTAACATCTTCCCACCGTCACCATAAAAACACACACATACACACCATAAACAATTATTTCTTGTGGAAATGCCTCAGTAATTTTGCTTCTGCCTCTTTTCTTTGCTCTTTTTGGGCTCTGGCTCTACTTTTTTGGGCAACTTGCCTCTTTATTGAGCCTTTAAAAAAAAATAAAATAAAAGTACAATAAAATTTTGAAAATTTAACCAAAGTAAAAAAAAAAAATATATATATAACCAAAGGAGGAAATATAAATACTGACATTAATGTTGTTATAGAAATTTATCGTTGGATATTACTTACTTTAAAAACAAATAATTAAAATTATTCAAAGGATTAACAGTATGACAGGGCCGGTCATAGATAATTGGAGGCCCTGACTTAATCCTGTGCTCTCCCAGGGGAGCAGTGTCGAAACCACACCTCTCCACCGGACTCGTTTCTGAGCAGCTTTCTTCATCAGCTGCCATGCCATTCCAGTATTGTAGACCCCAGGCGAAGTTAATTTGGTCACCCCCCCCCCCCCCAATGAAATTGAAAAATAAAAATAAGAGCGAAAGAAAAAATTACTGCAATTTTTTTAAAACCGAAACAATGGCGTAGGGCACACGTTTCGTTATTTCTTCTCTAAAAAAATCATGTCATTGTCCTGCGCGAGGTCCCTAAAATCGGAGGCCCTATGCGGCTGCCTAGTTTGCCTATACCTAAGGCCGGCCCTGCCTATGAGAGTAGTAACCTATAGCCTAATATTAAGTTTAAATCTAGTTACCTTTTTTTTTAACATTAAATACATCGTTTTACATGTCTGTTTAATAGATAGCGCCACATCAACATACATGATTAGACTGGATTTAGTGTGTAACAAACTTAATGGGTTAGCAAAGAAATAGACTGGATATAGCCACTAGAAAAGACTTACTTTGTCTAATTTAAAGCTGGACATTTCTAATATAGTCGGACTTCGGAAGGCACAAGGTTCCCATTAGCTTAATTTAATTTTTTAAAATATTTATATAAAAATAAAAATAAATTCAAAATTAAACCTAAAATTCTATAAAATCCAATATTCAATAACTTAAAAAGGGACTATTCAAAGGATTTGAAAGAAAGTCATGACAATAAGATAATGTTTGTGTGTAATCACTTAACTTATTTGACATAATTTTTGTATAATTTGCCTTTTCACGCTTCTTTCATATATGTTAGTCTTAAAGGTGGTGGGGGGGGGGGGGGGGGAGGGGGGGCAGTGGCGGATTTAAAATTAAAAAAAAATTACGAAAAGGGGGCGGTAGGCCAAAAAAGGTTGAAGACCACTGCTATAGATGGACATAGTATGTACACCAAAGTCCACTTGTACATGTTTTAAATGGGACTATGTACACAATTCTACACTCAGACACAGGAAAATTTGTCAGAACCTGGGCAGACAATCTTGGTGACTAGTCACTAACTCAATTTTCATAAAAATGGGACTTAACCACCCTCTTGCACTAGTGCCTTCAATTAAAATCAGGGGGAAATCCCTTTCACTCTTTATCCATCCAATGCCTTGGTTCCTTCGGTTTTATTGACCAATTGTTTTGGGTGTGGAGTTCCAAGGGACATAAGCTTTTCTTCGATACCTTTGATGTTTATTGGCGGTAGAGTCCCTTTGCGTTTTAATCACAAGTGTCGTTATCATGGAAATTCGATTCTCTGTAGGTGACTTGGATTGTCTCTCTTGTTTCGCTCTTCTCTTGTCACTAATTCCTCTTGAGTGCTTTGTCTCTGTATACCGTAAGACATGGTCCCTTGTTACCTGAGTTACATCAATGATTTTTGTTTTGTTTTTCCTTTATACTTTGTCTTCAGCCACCGTTATTCTCTTTTCTTACTTAAAATATCTATATTTATAATTTATGTTTAAAGTTGGATGATTTAATTTTTTTGCTTTCAATGTTTATTTTCTATTGTACTAACCGGATGTGACCCGCGTCATGCGGGCCTTACTTTGGGTATTACTGGTCTGATCTAGTGGATTGGATTGAGATCTACTTCAAACATGGCGAATGTTCCCTTAACATTTTTAAAATTAATTTTACCATGAAAATGAAAGTAGTGTGCGAAAATGGGTTAACCAAATTAGCCGACATATTGATATCAAATATAAAATACTGTGGGTTTTCCTGATTTGTTAAAATTTTTGTTCTTTAATAGAGATAAATGAAGGTAGTTTTTAAAAATTTAGGGCCCCGGTTGTTGGAAAGAATCAAACATAGACTACGGTCTCCACCATTATCTAAGGAACGTTTATGCCAAGTTTTATCAAGATTGGTCGAACGGTTTTGATTTCTATGCGGGACATGCAAACATACCTACTCCTTACATTCTATTGTATATACTAGATTACAACAAAGTTTATGTTTGTCTGGTAAAAAGTTTGTACACGTTATTTCTCTCAAACCCATTCTGGAATCAAGTTCAAACTTCTCACCACTATTCATTGGCATGGAGAAGACATGAATCAATTAAAAAA